AACAGAGTATTGGTTAGCTAGCCATACTGTAGTAAGATAGCCAACTCCTAAAAATTAAGCTCACGAACTCAAGTAGGTGAAGAAATATTCACTATAAAAAGTCAAAAAGACAATAAAATAGTATAAATAAGATCCAGTATAGACAGCTCCTTGGAGACAGGAAGTAGATTAGTACCTGTAGGGGTTGGAGAGTTGGTGAATGAATATCAATGAGCATAAGGGTTTGGGGAAGGATGGAGGAAATACCATAAAATTAAGTGCTTGGGGGTTTCGTTCAGTGGTAGAGCACTTGTCCCGCATACAGAAGGCCCTGAGTTCAAACTCCAGCACTAGAAAAAGGAAAATACCCCCAAACTAGCTATTGATAATGTCTGTGATTATACCAAAAAACATTTATGATACATAAATTGTATCTCAAGAAAAAGGAGGCATACAGAGAAAATCATAATATATGTTTAATATATGTATATATTAGAGACTATTCTTTTTTTTTTTTTTTTTGGTCAGTTGTGGGGCTTGAACTCTGGGCCTGGGTGCTGTCCCTCAGCTCCTCAGTTCCAGGCGAGCACTCTACCACTTGAGCTACAGCGCCACTTCCGGTTTTCTGGTGGTTTATTGGAGATAGGAGTCTCACGGTCTCTCCTGCCCGGGCTGGCTTTGAACCTCGATCCTTAGATCTCAGCCTCCTGAGTAGCTAGGATTAGAGGCGTGAGCCACCAGCGCCCGGCCTATTCTTCATTTTTAAACATTATGCATAAAGATCTAATGTCAAAATTTTTCCTCTATATCCATATGGTAAGAAAAATGCTGGAAGGAAATACAAAGTGATAACTATAGTTTATAAGCTAGTGGGTGATTTCATATCACAAATCTTATACAATAAACATGTTTTTTTCAGGCTCAAAAAAAAAACACACAAAAAACCTTTGTAAAACCAAGAAAGGACTACCTGTTGACAAACTTCTTGTCACTGGGAGTAAACGTTTGAGAATCATCTGATACAGATGAGAGGGAATTTAACCTTCAAAATTTAACCTGGACATTTTAACTATGGTATTATTTTGGTGTATGCCAGTACTGGGGCTTAAACTTAGGCCTCAAACTATATTATTATTATTGTTGTTGTTGTTATTACCATTTTGTCTGTTGTAGGGCTTGAACTCAGGGCCTGGAAGATGTCCTTGAGCTCTTTTGCTCAAGGCTAGTGCTCTACCCTTTAAATCACAGCTCCACTCCCTGTTTTTGAGTGGTTAATTGGAGGTAAGAGACTCATAGGGACTTTCCTGAGTGGGCTGGCTTTCAACCACAATCCTCAGAACTCAGCATCCTGAGTAGCTAGGATTATTGACATGCTGTTTATTTTATAATTACTAATTTTCTTTATTGTTGTTTTAGAGATTGAACCCAGAGCCTCATGCACTCTAACACCAAGCTACATTTCCAACCCATTTTTTAAAAAGAAGCTGCCAACCAGGTGCCAGTGGCTCACGCCTGTAATCCTAACTACTCAGGAGGCTGAGATCAAAGCCAGCCTGGGAAGGAAAGTCCGTGAGACTCTTATGGAAAACCAGTGGCTCAAGCAGTAGAGCCTCGCCTTGAGCTGAAGAGCACAGGGACAGTGCCCAAGCCGAGTACAAGCCCTACAACCAAACAAAAAAACAAAAAAAGAAAGAAAAGAAGCTGCTATTTGAGATCTTGGTCGTGATATCAGTCTCGGGGATGAAGCTCTGTCCTTTATTATAAAATTTCATAGCTAAAGAGAAAAATCACAACTTGAACAGTATGAAGGTTGGGAGTATGGTTCTTATAGTCAAATGTCTGTCTAGCAAAATAAGGGATTGAGTTCAAATTCCAATACTGCCAAGCAAACAAAAAAAGACATTTGAAGCTAAGTGTGGTGGTTCATACCTGTAATCCTAGCCACTCAGGAAGCAGGGTCAAGTGGGTCAGAAATTTGAGGGTAGCTCATACAAAGATAGCCAGATCTTATCTGAAAAACTCAGTGATTGAGTGCTTGCCTAGCATGCACCAGGTCTTGGGCTCAGGCAACAGAACTACAAAAATAAAAATAAGAGGGCTAGGAATGTGGCTCAGTGGTAGAGTGTTTGCCTAACATGCATGAAGCCCTGGGTTCAGTTTCTCAGTAACACATACACAGAAAAAGCCAGAAGTGGTGCTGTGACTCAAGTGGTGGAGTGCTAGCCTTGAGCAAAAAGAAGCTCAGGGACAGTGCCCAGCCCCTGAGTTCAAGCCTCAGGGCTGGCAAAAATAAAAATAAGAGAGGGCCAGGTCTATGAATACTTCAAAATGGGGAGGAAATGTTTAAAGGCAAACTAGATGTTTCTACAAAACCAGAACCAAAAGATTGCGTTGTAAGCCAGCCTCCTGAGCCAGTGGCTCATGCCTGTAATCCTAGCTACTCAGGAGGCTGAGATCTGAGAATTACAGCCAGAAGGCCAGCCCAGGCAAATCCATGAGATTCTTATCTCCAGTTAATCACCAAAATGCCAGAAGTGGACCAGTGATTCAAGTGGTAGTGTGTTAGCCTTGAGTGAAAAAGCCACGCGAGAACATGAAGCCCTGAGTTCAAGCCCTAGTATTGGCACACATACTGTTGTAACAAGATGCTCAAGAAATCATCTTACCAGGGCTGGGAATGTAGCTTAGTGGTAAAATACTTGCCTAGCATGTATTAAGCCCTGGGTTCGATTCCTCAGTACCACATACACAGAAAAAGCCAGAAGTGGTACTGTGGCTCAAGTGGTAGAGTGCTAGTCTTGAGCAAAAGAAGCTCAGGACAATGCCCAGGCCCTGAGTTCAAGCATCAAGACTGGCAAAAAAAAAGATAGATAGAAAGAAGGAAGAGAGAGAGACAGAGACAGACAGACAGACAGACAGAAAGAGAGAGAGAGAGAGAGAGAGAGAGAGAAAAGGAAAGGAAAGAAAAGAAAAGAAAAGAAAAAGAATATTATCCATCTTGCCAGGCTTCTTTTGGTCTTTGTAAAAATGAAAACAAAACTTTTAAGATGTGACATTTGAATCATGTCTGAATGTGTCAGTTCACACTCATTCCAAAGGTTGCTGATACCAACAGAACATAAATAATTCTTAGGAGGGAAATTGCCATTAAAAAAAAACAACAAAAAACAAGTTCAGAGACTGTCAAGGAGTTGGGAAGTTGGCCAACTGCATCAGCTTTGGGGTGTGGTTCTACTGTGGGCTGGCTCCCCCAACTCCCTAGGAGGGGGCGGAGGGCAGTGGAAGAGAAGTACCAAGCTATAAAAAGCTTTGGGTTTTATTTCCTTCTAAGGCATCCTGAGTCACTGGGTGCTCCAACCTCCCCCCCCACCCCAGTGCCGGAGGAAGTGCAGCTGAAATCGGAAATGTGTGTAGGATTCCCACCCCCTACCCCCACCCCAAACCAGAGTTAACAAACCGGATGACAGCTGTCACCTGCACTCAAACTCTTATAGGCCCAAAGGGTAGCTTCCTATTTCCATCCGGTGAAGAGATGGAAGTTACTTTAATTATCTGGTGTTTCCCGCCCTCCATCCAGGTTCCAGTATTACACCACAGTCTTCACAAGCGTACATCCACACACATCCCCTCCTGCATGGAGCTGCTCAGAACCCAGTCTCATTTGTCATCTCAAAGGACAGCGGCGCTCCTACGTGAATGACTTCGCCTTACTCTTTAGGCTGCAGTCTGATCCAGTGATCAGAATCCTAGAAAGCACCAGGCAGGTACCTTTCCTCACCAAGGAGGAAACTGAAGCCCAAAAATGCTAAGGAACTTGCCCCAAGGCTACAAAGGAATGGACCAAAATTGGAGCCACAGCTTGGGGCCATGTCCCCTGTAGCCCAGCTCTACTTAGTTTCTAGGCTCCCCCCACCCACCCACACACCACCCTCAGGGCTTAAAGGCTGTCTGTCTCCAGCCCTCAGGCCAAGGCAGGGGCTCTGTCACCATCTCTCTTCTCCTAGTGCCCTGGAGATTTCTGTCCTTTTTGTGCAGTGGGATTGTAACCAGGTGAGGTGGCCTGGAAAAAGATCCTCTGGAAACAAGAGGGGGTTCAGGAACCAGGGTATGCATAGGCCAGCATTGAGGTTGCCACACCAAGGTTTGGCATGTACTATGCCACATTCCCTAACCCCAGCCCCAGCCCGCCTTCCTCAGTCCCCCTGCAGTTAGATCAATGTGCTCCCACCTACGGATTCCTTAATACAATCCCCAGACTTGGATTAATATAAAGGATGAAGACCAAAGGGAAATTCATCTATGACGTACATTTTCTACATAAACAATTGTGGTTCTCTCCCCGCCCCCCTCCTTCCCTCCTTTCTTTTGTGCTGCTACTGGGACTTAAACTCAGTGTCTCAGGCTCTCACTTGGCTTTCTGGCTCAGCTGGTACCCTACCACTTACGTGCTTTACATCCTTCCCCACCTCTACCCCCAGTTGTGGAACTGAACTCAGGGCCCAGGCACTGTCCCTCAGAGTTTTGGCTCAAGGCTAGCACTCTACCACTTTGAGCTACAGCTCCACTTCCGGTTTCCTAGTGGGTAATTGGTGATGTCTCAGACTTTCCTGCCTATGCTGGCTTCGAACCACAATCCTCAGATCTCAGGCCTCTCAAGTAGCTAGGATTATAGGCATGAGCCACAGGCAAGGGCTTCCACTTTTTTTTTTTTTTTTTGCTGGTTAATTGGAGATAAGTCTGTCAGACTTTTCTGCCTGGACTGACTTCAAACTGCAGTCCTGAGAGTGCACTCTCCTGAGCAGGGAAGATCACAGCCGTGAGCCACCCACACTTAAGAGGCCAAGAGATTTGGTTAAAAATGTCAAGTGTTAACACCCAAACTAAAACCAGATTAAGGCTGCCAGAAAACTTCTCTGTAGAATCTTGGGCCCCGACTCCCACCTGTTGTGCTAGGACCACAAGAGAATTTACCCAAAGGCAAGTGGCTTGTCCAGAGAGCTAAAAACCTACACAGTTCAGTTAAAGAGATGAAAGGCTGCAGAAATGTTTATTGAATACAGTGCCAGGTTTATAAATAAAACTTATTTACAATTTCCATAGAGTTGGTCCCCCATCAGAGGAGGTGGTTAAATCTCCAAACAGTTGATCTCAAGGTTTACAGAAACGTTCAAATACATCTCTCCTTTTTTCCAATAGCCAAGGTGAAAGGTAACTTCAGTAACAAAAGAACCACCACTATCTTTGCTACAGAAGTGTTGAAAGAACATTTTCATGGATTTGGAGAAAGAACCCACACTCCACCCCATGCCACTACCTTCTTACTCCAAGGGATCGACAGCAAAGAAATCTGTCTTCTATGGGACAACTTCAAGGGATTAAAAAAAACACTTTTCAGCTGTGGGAATCGATTAAGACACATTAGTGGAAATCTAGTCACTGCCCAAAGGGGAAATATATTCAGGATATACAATAAATAATTGAAATAGTTCAAAGAATTGAATAAACTTAAGAGTAGACTTGACCAAATTGACATTCTTTGTTCAGGAAGAAGTTCCCAAGATGCTTAGGGGCTAATAATATGCAATTCCTCTCATGTAACAGCAGTGCTAGGCCTATGGACAGCCATTCCTTACAATATTGTTACAAGTTCAGTCGGACATGCATTTATAAAGAGAATATAAAAATATGTACAACAGCTCATCTTCAACGTGTTGAAGTCGCCGAAAGACACCAATTAAAGTGCGCAAAAAATTTGTTTTGTCAAAAAAAAAATTTTTTTGTTTTTTTTTTTTTCAGAAAAAGCCTTTTCTGGCAACAGTGCATTGAAAGCCCATCAGAATGGAGGTCCATTTGCCTTGCTTTACGCCTACCCCGAACTGATGGAGAACCAAACTGAAGAGAGGATTTGCCAAGGACTCAGCAGTTTCTTATGGCAAGTCTCAGGCTAAGAGCAGGACACAAGTTAAACTAGTCACTTTATATATATAAATATATGTATATATTTATAGAGTAGTTAGAAGTAGGGGCAAGAGTTTTCAAGAAGGTGCTACCCAACTTCAAGGGTACTGCCAAGACACCCAAGCTCTTTCCCTGTGCTGAGCTGCACCCTGGGCTGGGGTGGGAGCGGGGGAAGGGGAGGGCAGGCTGAAGGGCTCGGCCTCACCTGTGCTCCACACCGGAACTCGGTACTCCCTGGGGAGGTGGGGGGGTAGGGTTTACTGGTTCCCATGTAGGATGCTGGCCACACAAGAATCCTGCTAACACGGATAGAAAGACGAGTAAGAGGGCAAGATAGGAGGAAGGCTTTTTAAAAATAAGGTATCACCTCCTCCCATCTTGAACACAAGCCTAAGGCTGGTTCCACACCTCCATTTTTTGACATGTCCTCCCCCCCACTCCTGTCCCCTGTACGAACCATCCAAACCAGGAGCCTGCAGCAGCTTCCTCTCACTGTTAAGAGTTCCTGGCAGATTCAGGTACTCACACAAGCCAACAGCTCATGATATCAACCTCTCCCCCGGCAGACACCCTGTCCAAGGACTAGTAGCAGCACACGGGCAACGTCCCCTCTCCACCGCTCTGACCCACCCCTCTGGCAGAAAACCAAACAAGCTGCAAAATGCCAGAAAGGCAGGGAGTAGGAGAGGGGGGAGAAGCTGAGGGTCTCTGTAATAATCAGCCCTGAATGTACACCATTTGGCTGCCAAGAGCTTCTCACTGGCTGGCAAGCAACCTGCCAGTTTCCCCGCAAACCAGCAAATTCAAACCACCCACCTATACTCAGCAGCCCAAGCTCTTTGCTAATAAGATACAGCCACTTAGCACCCTGAAAAATGTACATCCGCCTTTCATTTCAAAAAGAACTCCATGCTAAATGCGGTGTGCTTCTAAAGGGGCTTTTAAAATGGACTGGTGCCTCTGCCGATACCAGTACAGCATGTCTGAGTTTTGGTTACACGTTTATAATTAGACATGAAATTCATTCTGGGCTAGGGTTTTCCTTTCCAGCCAGAGGCTTAGCATTAGTGCTACTTGGGGGTAAAAAAAAAAAAAAAGTCAAGTCAAATTTAAAAAACAAAAAAAGAACATCAACAAATACAGGCTAAGGTGAAGAGTCTTACAAATTAAAAACTGCATCAAGGTGACTGATAGTGTCTTTTAGGCATGTAGACTGGCTTGAGAAAGGATTACTGCTCCTACCACACAGAGTGAGGGTTGAATTACACACTAAATCATGTCTCTTGCACAGATGGTCTCAGTAGTTACATAAAACAGGTAATCAGCAGCACAATTGAAAATAATCCCTAAAAACATGCTTTAGAAAGTGGGTTTTTTTCCTTGAGAGCTTGGCCACCTAACTAGATTAAGGTACCATGATTTGCCTGCCCCTCCCCCCCAACTGCAACTAGACTTATACAGTCATAAAGCAACCAGCAATCTGCTGTTTTTCGGCAAGGTGTTAGGCTCAGAGGTTGGTGCTAGAACCCAGGAGGGAAGGAGACCCAACCCCTGGGCTGAGGGCCTCCACTCTTAACTGCCTTGTCCCCCTTTAGAGCTCAGCTTTACAAAGCATTTAACACCACTTTAAGTTAATGGTCTTTTTATTGGAAAAAAAAAAAAAAGACTAGCATTTACAACTTGGAATGGACGTAAATTGTCAAATTTCTCGAACAGCAATGTTGATGGTTGTGCTGAAGTCCACAGCCACAGCCTACTCTGCTGGCTCCAAGTCATGGTTCCGAAAGTTTTAAAAACAGAGTCCAAGGATGCTCCTGGTAGATGCCTTTTTAAAAAATGTGTGATTGGTGACACTGGACACCCACTTCATCTAGTGCCATGGAGACAACGCTAAAACCAACAGAGCAGGCACGCCACCAGGGTGTCACTGTCACCGTGGGCTGGAGCGCGTGGGAGGACAGGAGAACTCTCCCACGGCTGGGGCTGCATCTCAGGCTCACCCTTCACCCATTTTCTGCACATCATCCTGAGGTAAACCAATTTGAAATGTGTCTTGTTTTCAGTAAACCAGCTAGGACAACTGATACTAACTAATTGAACTAGAACCCATTGGAGTAAGTTTTGAATTTTTTTTCATCTTTCAACTTTAATACAAATGCCTGACTGTGCTCAATCGTCAAGCTGCATGCATGAAAAACTGGCCAGCCCAAACAGTGCATTAATCATTAGCAAATGGAACTGCAAGGAATCCACTAAGTGCTTCCTTATCATTAAGGTAGAACAAGTATTATATTGTAAAACTCATGTGTAGCTTCATCTTTAGGGGACAGGACCACCAACCAATACATGCAGATTTTGTGTGTGGACAGAAGGTACTTTTGACATTCAGTTTTGCTATATAGAAACAGAATGAATAAATGAACTTTTTCTTTTTCTTTTTTTTCTTTTTTTTTTTGCAAGAGGTAAGTAAAAGATTCAATTTGATTCTTCTAGGGGGGGAATAGTTGAAAGAAGTTCTTCATTTTGCAGTCATCATCTGTACGAATTCTGAAAAGACAAATAAATCATAACTTTTGTTATCTTCAAAAGCAGCTTTAGTGAATGCAGCATCTACTTTGAAAGTCAGCTTGGACACAGATCCTAACAGTAAGATGGTTAAGAATTAAGGTGGTGTTTTACCTTCATAGTTCACTTGTCCATCTCCATCAATATCTGCTTCTCTGATCATCTCATCTACTTCTTCATCTGTTAGTTTTTCTCCTAAGTTTGTCATGACATGGCGTAGTTCTGCGGCGCTGATGTAACCATTCCCATCCTGTGAACATTCAGCAATTGTTACAGAGGGTGGGTGGCTGTGGCTGAGGTACTGTCAAGTCCACTCCCATCTCCAGTTACCACTAAATCTAAGCAGTCTACGATCACAGAAACCAAGACTTTCAAAAACCAGCACTGACAGTAACAGGGCAGTTTGTTCAAAAATGTTCTCTATTCTTCCTGCTCTTGCCCAATGAAGTACTGAAATCAGAATATTTGGAAGTGACACCAGAGGCTCAGGCAGGCTAAGTATTCCACCTCTAACCAGCTGATACAGCTTTTACAAATGGAAACCCTAGAAACTGCCTTAAGAACCACCTATGATGAAGATATAAGATTACCTTGTCAAAGACTCGGAATGCCTCACGGATTTCTTCTTCGCTATCTGTGTCTTTCATTTTTCTAGCCATCATAGTCAAAAACTCTGGGAAGTCAATGGTGCCATTACCTCAAATTAAAAAACACAAAAGGCTCATGTAAGTAAGCACTACATTAACACTCTCTGCAGGAGTAATTTTAGAACCAGTTCAGAATGCTAGGGAACTTGTGATTCGGTATTTATTAAGCTCAATCTTTTATAGACACAAAATAGTCAAATACTTCAGAGTCATTACAACTCAAGTAATTTTATAGGGTAATCGTCAACAACCAACATAGCCTTTAAAGATGCAAAGGAAACTGCACGGAGATCATGAGCACTGAGGAGGCAGTACAGCTCAAGAGCGGAAGTAACTCTGACAGCCTGCCTCATTCTACCCTGGCCCTCAGGATGACCTGCCCCACACTAAGGAGACCACTTAGGTCTAACTCTATCTTGGCTAGCAATACCAGTACTGTACAACTGCAGGAAAATTGACAGTTACACCACTGGCCAGTCTCTGGGAAAGTGTTCTCTGAGTACATTTTTTTCAGTCATATTATGTTAAGCAACCTGTTTTTCTCCCATCTCCAGTCTTGGCTTCGTATGGGGATTGAACCCGTGTTCCCTTGGATGCTAGGTATGTTCTCTACCAATGAGCTACACCTCAGCCACCAACTCAGCATCTTACTCCCCAGCCCCCCCATGAAGGAAAAAGCTCAGAGCATTTTTTCCACAGCCTGGACCGTTCATATTTAGGAAACCCACATTATGGCCAAAAATCCAAGTAAGTCCCCGGCATTGAGAGATGAGTACCTCTAGAGACAAGCCTGAGCTAAGTGGAAATCAAATTGGAAAAAAAAATCCTTCAGTTATTTTCACCAGTACCTTTAGGACAATATAACCCTCAGACTAGAGTATATAGCTCCATGGCAGAACATCTGCCTGTCCCGTACTAGGCCCTGGGTTCAATCCCCAACATGGGGAGTGGGAGAGGAAGGAGACTCCTAAAGCCATTGGGGGCTCCAAACTTTTAAAACATTATTGTTTTAAAACTCATCTTAAGTACTGTCTCGAAACCATACAAAGATGTCTGTAGGTACCATCTACTAACTGCAAATAAAGGAGTCTCTTCTTCACAATCTGAAGGCCAAAGCCCAGTTTTCCAGAGCTCCCCCAAAACAGGAAGTGGCAGCCTGTGGTACCCACATGGCTAATCTCCTTAGTAATTAAACCAAACAGACTACGGACTTCTTTCTCTAAAACTCTTCTTAAGGATGAAAACAATTTTTAGAAGTAACTCTTTGCAATCACAGAAAGAAACGTCAAAGAGCGTATCAAAAATGTTTATTTTTGTTTTACTGCAAGCCTAATTCTACTGGCGTACGTTTTGGTACCCTATTTTTCTAAATGGCTACAAGTCAAACATCTAGAAAGTTAACTCTACATCCAAGCTGTTTATTCTTAGCTCATCTTTTAGAAATGTATTACCTACAATCTTACATAGTTCATAAGTGGAATATACAAAAATACCTGTCAGTTAGAAGAAGGTGCTTCAGAAGCTTCTGACAAAAGTAAGCAATTAAAAGAGCTCATGTCTAGCCACTGTTTTAGTCTAGAGGAACAGCAGCCAAGTACTGTGGGGACCTCGGATTCTTCCTGGTTCTGACCTGCATAGCCAAGACCTCTTCCTCCTTCATCATGCAACCCACTTCAAACTTTACATGATACTTGTCAGCCAGCACACATACAACTCATATTGCACTTGGTTTTAGGGTTGTTTTTTTGTTTTTGCCTTGTGCTGGTCCTGGAGCTCGAACTCAGGGCCTGGGCACTGTCCCTGAGCTTTTGTGCTCAAGGAGAGCTATCTACTACTTGAGCTACAGAGCCACTTCTGACTTTTGGGTGATATTAACTGGAGATAAGAATCTCAGCCTTCCCAATGCTTTGAACCATGGTTCTCAAGAGCTTAGCCTCTTAAGTCAAGATTATAGGCATAAGCCACCAGAGCTAGACTTGAGTTAACTTTTTTTTTTTGGTGGGTTGTGGGGCCTGAAAGCTGGGCCTGGGCGCTGTTCCTCAGCTCTTCAGCTGAAGGCTAGCACTCTACTACTTGAGCGTCAGCCCCACTTCTGGCTTTTTCTGTTTATGTGGTACTGAGGAATTGAACCCAGGGCCTCATGCATGTAAGGCAAGCACTCTACCACGGAGCCACCTTCCCAGCCCCTTGAGTTAACTTTTAAGAGTACACTTTACCCACTACACTTGGAGGTTTCTCCTCCTAAAAACAATAAACTTTATAAAAAGATTTGACCTGTAAGTCATAGCAAGCAGAAAAACAGCCATATAGTGATCAGATCCAGGAAACGTTCTAAACAGTGAACAGGGTGAATGGCACTGCATAGTCTTCTATTTTAATGTCAGGGGCCAAAAGCAACTACAGAAAGGAATATTATACCTTGGCTTTGCTCTGGGGACCTGAAAGACAACCTTCTAACAGTTTTGAACTTGAATGACACAGCACTGGCACTCATTCAAAGCTCTGCAGCCCTTACCATCAGCATCCACTTCGTTGATCATATCCTGCAATTCAGCTTCTGTTGGGTTTTGACCCAGTGACCTCATGACAGTCCCAAGTTCCTTTGTTGTGATGGTGCCATCACCATCTTTATCGAATAGGGAGAAAGCTTCCTTGAATTCTGGAAACAAAAGTTTATCCATTAGAACAAATGTGGACCAAATCCAAGCCACAGAACACACTTCCCTGAGGCCTGCCGACACAAGCTGCCCAAGCTGTGGGATTTATCAGAAACTGCCTGGTCTTTACTGAAATCAGGCCCCTATAGTCCTGTTGGCCTGAATCTCACACAACAGCCCCTAAGGTAAACACTGCTCTGGGTAACCCACTCCACGTTTTTGAAGGCCAAGCTTGAACATGCTTAAATCAGTCAAGTCCAATCTAGCACAAAATTAGTCCACATGTTCTCTTAAAGTCTTTTTATGTTAACTTCCTACAGTGTTAAGAATCTCTTCTTTCACAACAAGAAAAGGTTGTGAATAGATACATTCCAAAGAAAATAGCATGAGCTGTCACATCACACTCAGAATATTCCAGAAGCATTCCTGTTTTCTCTTCCAAAGAACATTTCAAAATAAGGTAAATGTAAATTAAGTCTCTTCTCCAATGAAATGGTTCCAACATTCATTTCACCCTTCTATTTAGAATAACAAGCTGAAGCTTTCCAAGTAGATTAGTGAAAGACTTGTAGCACGTAAGAACTACAAACTCAATTTCTGAGAAGGAGTGCAACCTCAGCATAGGCAAAGCTGTGCACATGGAGAAGCAGTCAGACATCCAGAGTAACATAATGTGGACAATTTCAGTTCCACTTCCTTCCATCTCCAAGACACTGGAGTAACGCCTGACTAAATGTTTCTTCCTGTTTATCACTGAAATAAATTCTTAAGGGGGCCGCAGAGTAGTTCAAGTGGTAGAGGGCCTACTTATCAAGCTCAAATCCTAATACTGCTAAAAATAAGTTTTTAGAATAATATTCCAGTAGTAGGGGGAAACAGAGGAGATACTAAAACTGTGTCAGAGCCTAGTTCCAGCCTTCTAGAGACTTCCCAGTCATTAACTTACCAGCAATCTGCTCCTCGGTCAGCTGATCAGCCTACATGAAGAAAGAAAAGGTTATAATTCAATTCAGGATAGTTCAGTTGGTATCTACTTTCTCCAGTTAAAACAGTTTTGGCATTGCAATCATTCAGTTTGACATCACTAGTCTTGTCGTTTACTGAAGGTGGCGAGAACAGAGGAAACCTCCTGTGCTATTCTGAGAGTAAAGGATGACAAGGAAGCGACAACATTGTGGGGCTTCATGTTTTCTTCTCAGGCCTAAAGCTTGCAGCAGGCGGGGAGCTTGGCGCCTGATGTGGAGATGGCGCCTCTAGCGGTGACAGGCGGCCCCACACGGCCGCCGCCGCCGCCGCAGCAGCAGCAGCAGCAGCAGGCTGCGCAGGAAGAGCGCCACCTACTGCGCCAGACACTGCGGTCCAACTTCCAGCCAAGAGCCCAGCCCAAAGTGCGGCCAGGCCACCGCAGCCACCGCAGCCAGGATCAGGATCCCGTCCAGAAACAGGCTTTTAGCGCACCTTGCTTCAGGCCCTTGAAATCTCCAAACTGGCGTTACATAATGGCACTCGCTGGATTAAACGGCTTTCATATCCATTTTATGAGAAACAATTAAGTGGAAGAAATACACGGCAATGGCTACCCCACTACCTGTATTTCCATGCAGTGAATGAATGCTTTTCAATCATTTAAAGCAGGCAGCTATTTGTTTAAAGTCTACCATTTGCAACGGCTAATAGCCTTTGGCTGAATTATCCTACGAATCAGACGCTAGGATAAAAATGAGCTTAAAAGTGTTGCTACAAACCTGCAAAATTCAAATACATAGAAAACCGCACACAGTAATTATGAGACAGCAACCCTGTTTTCTGGTGAAGATCAGTAACTTCAATTTCCTGGTAGTTACCCTACAGACTTACCTACCTACCTAAAGAAGACCTAAGAGCGGCGCCTAGCAAACACCACTGCAGGTGACAATGGCCAGGAGGCAGTTCTCACTCGCATGATTTGGGCTCTGCAGCACGGAACCTATGCCTCCAGCCAGGGGAATCTGAGATCTCAAAGAGAGCTAATATGTATTTTCCTTTAATGAACGACGACTAATGAAGCCAGGTGCCAAACAGAAAGTTTATTAAGTGGAAACTTTCACCCTAGGAATGGTATTCCAATGTATTTCATTGGCGGGTGGCAGCTTATTTGGACCCAATATCTAAGTGGGTCTTACCTACCGGTCACTGAGAACTACTGGTTTACATCAAGTCGAGACGACGTGAGGATTTATGTAATAAGTCTATCTTGTACAACAGGAAGCGCTGCCCCACCTCGTTAGGGAAAATGTCATCTTCCTGGGGAGAACGATCCCACCGCCCCGCCCCACTCTCCAGCTTCCGGACACGAAATCCCCTTCCCCTACGGGCAGCGCTGGCCTCGAGCGCCCAAGGTGTTGCGGAACAGGGCTGGGAACCGCCACCCACCCCGCCACGCCGCCGATGATGTCAGCCCGGCCTGGGAGCGAGTTAGGGGGCTGCGGGAAACACGCCCGGCCGGGCCTCGGGCAATCCCGAGGCTGCAGGGAAGGCGGAAACGTGGAGAACATCGCCCCGCAGAGCCGGGCGTCCAACACCCGGCGAGGGGCCGGCCAGGGGCGCGCGCCCAAGGGCAGACTGAGGAGCGGGGGTGAGGGGGGCAGAGGGCGCCCCAAGGCGATCCCCCACACCCCACTCCCACCCTCGACTCCCGGGCCGCGGTCCCGGCCGCCAGCACCTCCCACTCGCTTCTGCTCCCCCAGGCGGCGAGCCCGCCGCGCCGCCGCCGCCGCCGCCTCCCCGGAGCTGAAACTTTGCGTCTCTAATGGAAACCGAGCCGCGCGCCAGCTCCTCCTCCCCCGCCCCCCTCCGTCCCAAT